GGGAGCCGCTGGCCAGTGCCCGTGGGAGAGGGGCAGGCAGCTCCTTCTGCTTATAAACCGGGTGGGGAGTTTGGGTGGCAAAGGGCCTTTCTAGGGACTGGGTGTTGCAGAGAGGGAGAAAACACCCTGGGTGCCTGAAAAAAGACCCTGTGCTCATTGCTGGTACCCCACAGCCTGATCTTACCCCGAGCACGGCATCACTGTTGCTTGCTCAGGGTTAAGCTCTGCAAAACCCTTGCTCAGGGTTAAGCGCACGTGGGCTTTTCTAGCAAAGGCGAGGGCATGGCTGCCACCCCGGGGGCCGCGTTAAACCTGCCGTGACTGCGGCTCTGCATGCCCAAAGGGCTCATTCCCTTCCCAGCAGGCAGCAAGCCTTTCAAAAACCTTAATGCCATCAGCAAATCTCTGGCTATATGACCCAGGAAAGCCTGGGAGGGGGCTCTCAGCAAGGCCTGTGGCTGAGGGCAGAGGTCCCCTGGGGTGTGACGGATGAGTAGCACTTCCACTGTCACCCGTGCCGCATTTCGGTGGCTTTCCCGGAGCATCTCGGGGAGAAGCAGGTTGGCAGCAAGGTCTTTGCAATGGTCCTAACCCCATCCTCTGCTGCTGCGGACATCTATGGAACAGCTCTGTGCTGCCATCAGAGCAGCTTGCGGGGGTGGAGGGGAAACACCCCTGGAGGCACTCAGGTCATCAGTGCTCCGGGCAATTAGGGATGGCATCGAAGCCTTTGAGGCTCTGGGCTTCAGCATCTGCCTGCAACCACTCTCCACGTCCTCCACAGCCTTGCTCAGACTTAGGGAAACAAGGTTTGGGTTTGTCTTTTTTTTTGCTGAGGCAGTTTGGGGTTTACGGCTCAAGGTGTTGGTGCACCCAATGGGTGGGAACAGAACAAGGGGCAGGCCCCCAGGTCTGTACCAGCCCACGCTGCCCCTGCTTTTTTTGCAATGCCTCTGGGCAGTGCCTAAAAGCCACTCGAGTGGAGCACTTACTGACACCCTCACCTTCCTGCAACGCAGTCCTGCCTCACAGGACCCCCACATCCTCCTGAGCCCCAGGCAGCAGCTTTTGGGGCGGGTGACCCTGAGCAGCCCTGTCCCCCTCCTTGCCTGGGAAATGGCACCTGCCTGAGGTCTGCTGCGGGTGCAGGACCCCCACCCCATGCTTGCCAGCCGGGCAGCTACACAGCGAGCCCCAGAACAGCCATTCACCCAGAGCACATACAGATATTTTTCCCTTTTAATGCACTTTTATTCCCATTCCTTCCACAGCCGCATGTGGTGGGATTTCAGCCCGGCAGGAGCAGGGGCTGTTTTCCAGCCCTGCCCGGGAAGAGGAGCAGCAGCCAGTAGCCACGGGGAGCGGGATGATTTGCCAGCTGCCCCTGCACCGGGAAGGGGTACAGCACCCTCCCCACATCACTGCCCTCTCTCTCCCTTTGCTACCTTGAAGGGAAGCAGTTTCCCTCATAATGAAATGGTAAAAAAAAAAAAAAAAATCATCTGTTTTAGGAAGACTTTGGATCATATAAAGATTCAAGTAGCATTAAGAGAACTAGAAAACCAAGTCCTGTACATCAGCTTATAAAATTTCTAAATAAAAAAAAAAAAGGAAGAAGAAAAGACATGACATGTCAGTGCAAGGGGTGAGGCAGTGGAGTGATGGCCCTCCACCCCAGCCCCTGGGACCTCGCTCAGGCCAAAGCCTCCCCGGAGAGGCAGGGTCTGGGCCCCGCCATCCCACATCCCCTTCCACCAAAGAGGTGCCCCCTCATCTGTCTGTCCATCTGTCAGCAGGGGTGCCGTGGCTCTAGAGGTCCTACAGCCGCACGATCAGGTCTCAGCAGGAACTTCTCGCAGGCTTTGAAGGTGGCACAGAAGTTGGAGGACAGTCCCGCCACGTTGGTGGTGACATAGTTGAGGTACCCTGGTGTAGCCTGGTTGTAGTAAGCCACCTGCGAGGCACAAGAGATGGTTAGTAGGGGCACATGCGGAGGGGGGAGCCTCCCTGATGGGGTGCGGGCAGCACTGCCCCGTGGCACGCCTGCAGCTTCCCACCTTGCTCATCTCCTCTGACTCCGGCCAAATGCAGAAACCAGAGCAGATCGTCTCCCCCCGCGTGAAGCCGGTGCTGGCAGGGTGGGTGGGCAGCGTCACCGACCGAAAGGCCACCACATAGGGGTCCCTGGGGAGGAGAGAGCCCAGTGAGCCGGCACAGCCCGGCTGGCCGGTAGCAGGGGGTCTGGGCCAGGGACAGCTACCCCTTGCTGCAGGGTTTCCGTCGGGATGCCAGGATGACAAAATCCTGTGGCTTGTTCTCATGGCTGAGTGTCTGGCTCACCACGTGGTAGATCATATCGTCGTTATCTACTTGCTGGACGAGCTCGGCACTCCTGCAAGGCGAGAGGGGACCGGTCATGCCAGGAGAGACGGAGACCGGCCACAGGATGGCTGTGCAAGGGACCGAGCCATCCCCCTAAAGGGACTGCCCAGAGAAACCCTGCTGTGGCCCCCAAGCCTGGGGGCGGCATTTACAGCCTGATGCTGTACCCAAAATATGTTGGGGGACCCAAAATGGATGTTTTCTGCAGCAAAGTGCAGCCATCAGCACAGGTGGAGCCAGTGCTCCCAGGGACAGGGATGCACGGTGAAAGGTCTCTAGGAGCAGTCATGGCTCTGAGGCGAAACACTTGCTCCCAGGAAAAAGCCCAAAGCAATGAGCCTTAAATTTAAGGATGTGGGTTTTGGAAAGGGCCGGGTGCTCCCGGGAAGCCCCGCAGCACTCACGCGTAGTGGCTGTCCCACTCAGGCCGGCGCCGCAGGTCAGAGAGCAGGGAGAAGGCTTGACTGGCGGCGATGCAGACCGACATCTCGATGCGGAAGGAGAGGAACTTGTCCTCCTCCAGCGTGTACATCCGCACCTCGGGGAGCACAGGGCACGGGCTGGGACGCATTCACCACTGCCAAGCCCCTGGGCTGCCCACGCTTTGGGGGCAAGAAGCAGCTCAGGGGAAAGGGGCAGGGTTTAGTACCTTTTCCTTTTCTCTGGCGAGCGCCCAGTTCGCTTTGGCCACGAGCGTCTTCAGCGCAGAGACGTTGTTGTAGCTCAGATAAACCTGGGGCAGGGGCAGCACGTCAGGGGCAGGAAGGGGGGGCAGGAGGCAGCGACTCCCGCGGGGCAGTACCCTACCTTGTTGCTTTGGTCCCAGGGCACGGAGAGCGGCACCTCGGTCTGTTTGCAGGAGATGACATATTTTCTGCAGGAAAGGAACAATTTCCCTTATGAAAGGGGGAGACACAACCACCCACAGACTGTCCCTGTACCCCAGTGCCAAGCCCCTCTCTCCTCCCTCCATCCCCCCAACCCACTTGATTTTTCTGCTCACCTGTCCAGCCGAATTTTTTTCCTAGCACTGGCTTCTCTGTACCTCCTCTCTCCATCCTGATAAACAGGAAAAGCACATTAGGTTAATAGGAAAAGGAGCGGGGAAAAAAGACACAGATATCTTTCTGGGAGTGGGCAAAACATTCAACAGTGAAAAGCCCCTGCTCTTGCTGGCTGCCACACGAGCTATGCTGGCAGTGGTGGTTAGTGATTAACTGTGAGCTATTTCCACGTCACTACTGCGTGCTACGATCAAGCAACGGGCACCGGCATATTAGGAAAAAACCCTCACTGTGGTTGCAGAGCTGCAAACAGCCACTGAAACACAAATTGTATCCCCTAGCATTTGCAGACACCCCTTCCTGGGAAATAAACCCCCCCAAAAAGCAGCTTATTTCAAAGAAAGCAGTAGTGCAGTGCTTTAAAGCAGGTGGAGAAGCAGTTTCAGGGAGCCTGGCTCCAGCCATGAGATAGTCTCCCGCAGGGTGGGAGAAGAGTCCTAGTTTTAAGGCATAAAAAAAATCAGGTAGGTGGGCACGGATCAGCCAAGGGGAAGGTGACACCGTCACTCGCTTACGCTACAATGTGCCCCAAGACATGCGGGAGTTTGCTTCGCTGTCGTGCTCGTGTGACAAATTTTCTTAAATATTTGGATCCAAGCAAATTATGGATTAGGATGCTTTGAAAGACAAAAACAACCTAAGAGGTTTGCATTCTTTCCCCTAAATTATAGAAAAGATGAGCTTGAACTTGCAGGCAATATTCTGTTAAGCCTTGCATGGCTAATACATTTCCACCTCTGCATGGGCAAGTGGTTTATTTTATTATTAGTTATACCAAGCAATCCATTTAATTCACTCGCTATCAAGCAATTTCATTTCTATCATCATAAAAATGCATTTGTTTTGCTGTGAATTCGAGAGCCCTTTGGGGCTAAGCAGGATTCCTGGGGGTGCCATGCCACCGTGGCGGGGAGAAGCCAGCCCTGCTCATCCTTACCCCCGGCTCGGGTGCCACCATCGGCAGGGTGCGGGGCTGGCCCTCCTGGTCCAGCACCACAAAGGTCATGAAAGCGCTGTTGATGTGCCTTCGGCTGATGGACATCTCCTGGCCGTACGCCTCGGCGCAGACCCCCACCTCCATGCTGGAGCGGGGAGAGAAGAACGGGTGAGGATGTGGAGAGCTGCCAGTAGGGTG